TACCGCTGAGCGAAACAATAGGACGCTGAAAGAAAGAGTCAGAGTAGCTCTTGCACGATTACCCTACAAAGTGGTCCCAAAAGTGATCACTGAATGTCTTGGACGTCGAGCCGCCGAGCTATTGAATATCTTTCCCCAGAAAGACAGTATCTCATCACATTTCTACTTGTGTTATTGATGCACAAGAAGGTAGAGATATAATGACAATGGACATGCCTAACGCTTTCATTCAAAATTATATGCCCAAAGCTAAGGAAGGAGAAGATCGTGTCTACATGAAAATCACTGCCATGATGGTCCAGATATTGATTGACATGGCCCCAGAGTATCGCAAATACGTTGTATTAGAGAATGGAAAGCGAGTAATCTATGTGCGGGTACTACATGCTATATATGGGATGGTGCAATTGAGCCTCCTCTTCTATAATCAGTTTCGAAGTGATTTGGAGGCAGAGGGATTTGTTTCCAATCCGTATGACCCGTGTGTTGCTAACAAAGTTGTTGATGAAAAACAGCAAACTATCAGATTTCATGTTGACGATCTTATGTCAAGTCACATGGATCCGAAAGTAAATGACAAAATTGCTAAGTGGTTGAACATGAGATATGGTTCAATAAAGGCATGCACAATCGTCAGAGGAAAGATACACAGATATCTTGGAATGACTTTGGATTTCTTGGTGAAAGGAAAACTCAAGATCCGCATGGACGACTATGTCAAGAACATGTTGGAAGAACATGTTGGAAGATTTTCCTATCAAGTTCAACAAGGATTCAAAGCAGGAAACACCAGCTGGTGACGATTTACTGGAAGCTGGTAAAGGGAAGTTACTCAGTGCTGAGTACCGTCAGATCTTTCATACTACTGTTGCAAGGGGACTTTATGTCTCTAAGTGTCAGGATCGAGTTAGTCGTCTTACGACTTACTAGATCGTCTGTCCATATTCTGTTCCCAACTCACTCATCACATCACCATCTAGTCACTCTATGAGTTTATGTTGACGATTGTTAGATATTATATGCGGTATAATATTTGACTGAGGTTTTTGAGATTCCAGATTCCTTGGTGAAAGTGAATTGCGATGACCAACCAATAACGTAGTGAAAAGAATTGTTCATTCTTTTCAGTAAACCATCTAGATTGATTGTTGTTGCAACTTTGATTGAGTGCAGAATAGTTGATACTATAGTTATGGAACTGAAGTAGATAGTCATCAGTGCATGCAAACCTGATCGGTCGCATGGACAATGCAGAGTTAATGACTCGCATCTGAATGATTATTTTGAAGATAGTCGTCCTATTTTCTATTTCTAACATTTACTGAAAAGAAACCGTTCGCACAAGTACGACAACTTGTGCATGCGTCAGTGCGAGAACGATATCTTGCACATGAAGTAGTGACAGCCATCACTGCTTCCTCCAAGCATTGTTTCGATGTCAGGGGGTTATCTTCAGTTCTTTGAAGGAGATTGGATTTTGTATTTCCAAAAGTATTGAACGAAGGCTCACTCTGAAGGTTAAAAATCAAGGAGCGAACTTGGTGTTCATTGCTCTCGGAAATATAGCTATTCATTTTTAAAGTGTCGTCTCAAGCAAGGCGTCAACAAGACCATTTTCGGAAGGACACATATCATCCATTGAAGTGATGATGATGCCGATGATGGATGTTGAGCCACTTGGACGAAGGAGCGTATTAGATATTATATGCGGTATAATATTTGACTGAGGTTTTTGAGATTCCAGATTCCTTGGTGAAAGTGAATTGCGATGACCAACCAATAACGTAGTGAAAAGAATTGTTCATTCTTTTCAGTAAACCATCTAGATTGATTGTTGTTGCAACTTTGATTGAGTGCAGAATAGTTGATACTATAGTTATGGAACTGAAGTAGATAGTCATCAGTGCATGCAAACCTGATCGGTCGCATGGACAATGCAGAGTTAATGACTCGCATCTGAATGATTATTTTGAAGATAGTCGTCCTATTTTCTATTTCTAACAGACGATTAACAAGTCGCTTATTGCTCTTCCAACTTTACTCATATTATGCCTTCACCAACTGAAAACAACAATAGTGTAGTCACTCCAAGCAAGAATGCAGCTCGTCCCGACGCGAGTCCAAACGATGCTGTCATTCCAGTGAACGACACAACAACAGCTCCACTTCCTCCGACCAACAACAAATTCACGGATCGCGAAGGGTCGGCCATCGCTCGTATTATATGGAACAAAGATCCTGCAACAGCCGAGATGGCGACGGAGCTCCAAGGAATTTTTACTGTCATGCAATTGAGTAAACTTTCTGATTTTGAGGGACAAGATGCAACCAAATTAATTGGATTTGCTGGCATTCCAAGACCTGGCGGTACGATTGGACCCATCCAATCAAAGCGCCTCAAGGATTTCTTCGATTATGCGACCGCTCCTTCTGCGAGTCTCCCTCCGGACCTTACCTACACCAAAATTCGAACCGTTCTTGAAGCACGTGCCAAAGAATTGGAAGTTGCAGTTCTAGGCTCCATGACTGGGGATGGAACTTCCGTTGCGCCTGCTAGTTCCAACTTCAAGTTCAAAGCCCCAGTATGCGATATATTTACTGGCGAGCCTGAGGAATTTTGGGGTTGGTGGGATTCTGTTCTATTGGCGTTCGGTCAGTCTGGCATTTCTGAAGCTTTGACTGACCCAGAATACCACAACAAGAGTGACAGTGCTGACAAAGCGTCTAGTGCTGGATGGTACGCCATTGCGAAAAGCCTCCAAGGCGGCCATGCCAATTGGATGTCTGGTGAGGTCAGCCGACACACCAACCGCAAAGTTGCTAATGATTTCTATAAGAAACTAATGAAGACATTTAATACTGAAGAGAACCAAGCACATTTCATGGTGCATGCAATCGACAGTTTGAATGAGATCAAGTTGGATCATACCAAGCAAGTTCACAAATTTATCAATGATTGGAAGCAAATTATCAATCGGTTGAATGAAAACAAGAACCAGCTTGCGACCAACCGAGAGATTCTACGAGTATTTCTACTTCGTGCATTACAGTCTGATGCCTTTGAAGAATCAAGACAATTTATTCTCCAGAACCCTTTGAAGACCATTGATGATTACTTGGATCATATCCGAAATCGAGCCGATTCGATGAGGATGCTGAGTGGCGACCCCCCAATCCGTTATGATGGGGATATTGTCCCTGGGATAATCCGCCGGGCCGAATGTCGAACCAAGACCAAGGGATCCGACCCTCCTAAATGGCACATTCCATTTTTTCCTAATGGATGGAAGCAAGCATTAGGGAGGGGAGCTTTCAGGCGTTTGGAAGAATGGAGCCGTGCCGCTCATGGTACTAATAAGCGTCCACGCGACCTCGAAAGGGAATTTGAGATGAAGAAGGTTTGTAATAAGTCATATGATCCCAACCTTGATCGAAAAACAAAGAAAGCTCGCGGAGGAGCTATTGACACTGAGGAAGACGACAATTCTCAGGACGGCACCACTGATTCCAGATCTCACAAGTTCAGAATTGTGAGTGCGAACCCCCGCCTTCGACGTAACAAGAATGGTAAAGGATGTCTCTTTCAACGACACTATCACCACTTGCAACTGACAAGCACGTGGACGTACACCAACGAAAAAGCGTGTGCTCCGCTGTACCACTTCTCCTCCGGAACCAAATGAGCCCGTCTTGATCACGGACAGTGGCGCCGACCAATTTTTGGCCGGCTACATCTGGAGAAGACTTAGTACTACGGGAAGACTGGTCAAGCTCATGGGAGCTTTGGCAGGAAGACATTCTGGAACAGTTTTACCGGTGGCATCTGTCGTCGGAAAATTGATTGATGCTGCTGGCAATGAATGGTGTGCAGTCGCCAACGAAGTCCTCCACGACACGAGTCCAAACCAGCATGAATCCTTACTCCCACCGGCGCAAGTACGTAATGCGGGCAATGCAGTGGATGATTGCCCATCTGACGCAAAGACGACTCGCGGGGACTTTGGAACACAATGTTGTGTGTTTGGTTCGGGAAAAGAAAAGCACACACTCCCGTTATTCTTTGATGGATTGAAGTGCTACTATCGAATGGAGGCCATCACCGATGACGAACTTACATCTTTGCCAAGAATTGTTCTCACTGGAGATGCGGAATACGAGCCGACTAGCCGGACTACAATTCGCCGAATGAACACGGACGAAATTGATTGGAAACGGACCATGGCTTTTCCCCCTGATGATGTCTTGAAACATACTCTTGAAGCAACCACTCAACTAATACCTGTTGTTGAGGCTGAGAGCCGTGAAATAATGAGAGACCACTTGAAGTCAAGACTATCTTGCCTCCGCTACCGCAGACGGCGAGATCAAAACTATTTGGATACGTTCAAGGCAAATGTAAAATTGGTCCGCGGATTTCAATACTTTAACCTATTTTGTGGTGAGAAATCTGGCTACAATCACCCGGTTCTGATGCAGCGCAAGAGTGAATCTCCGGAAACACTTGATGCCCACTTTGAACATTGTGGAACCCCACATACTTTGAAGTCTGACAATGCAAAAGAATTCAAGTCCAAGCACTTCGAACGCAAACTTCGCAAAGCACAAGTCGACGCCAAGTACACTGAACCCAAGCACCCTCAGCAGAACCTTGCCGAACTGAGAGGAGGCAGACTAAAACATGTGGTTCAACATATTTTGCTATTGACTGGAGCCCCTGCTGAATATTGGTGTTACTGTTCGGAAAATGTTGCTTTTGTGAAAGCACGAACGTCAAAGAGAGTTCTTAACCATAGAACGTCATGGGAAGCTGAGTTTGGCGCAGTCCCTGACATAAGCAAGTGTCGATTCTCTTTTTGGCAACCTGTCTGATTTTATACTCCTCACGGAGCGTTCCCACGACAGAGAATGATGAAAGCGCGTTTCCTTGGATTCAGTCCCGACTCTGGTGATGCATTTACATATGTTATTGTCACTGAACCCGATGATGAGAAAGCTCATTGCCAAATTTTTACCCGCTCTGTCATTTGACCACGATACCCGCGAGAAGACGCTCCAATTGTGTTCAAGCAAGGAAAAAGCCTTGAAATTTACAAAAGGGATGAGCGCACCATATTGACTGCCGTTAGTGACTCTGATTTCCCGCCTGCTCTTTCCGACAGGGCGCACAATCCACTTCCGACATTTCAAGAGGAGCCTCAACCATTGGACAGTGTAGAGGAGTATGAATGAGGTATTGAAGAAGTGTATGGACCCCCGGCTTCAAAACGACTTCATACCGATCCTACGTCCGACAAAGTTCTACTGCGTACTGATCAAGAGGAGCTTCAGCCGCTCTCTACCCAGGACCCACCAAGAGCTCCTTCCGTTCCGACTGCTGAAGTTGAGCTACCCACCGAACTGCACCCCCAAGATCAAGAAATGTTAGTAGCCAATTCTACAGCTACTGTCGATGCTACGCCTGAAGGTCCGCGGTTACCACAAAATGGACCTGTCCCGGTGACACAAGAGGAGCCAACAAATTCCTTCATGACGGAGCAAGGTGAATCTGCCTCAATTTCTCCTGATGGAGATGAAGACTCAGTTCATTCCGCCGATGAAGCCCTCGATGATCACCAAGTCTCACCGGAGTCGCTCGACGTTCACCTCCGGAATATTGCTGGATTGACGGAGGATGAAGATCTATTTGATTCTATTTGTGGTCATGAGTTTCGTGATGGTGTACTCTTCCTGCAGATCTTATGGAAGACTGATGAAACGTCATGGGAGAAATATTGTGCTTGCCGCGAAGATTTTCCTTACGACGTCGCCAAGTACATTTGCTCCAAGAAGATTGGATCTGCCTCTGGTAACCATTCAAATGGACCACATCAACGATGGGCACGTACTTTCTTGAAGAAAACTCGCCGTGTTATGCGTCGTTTTGTTCGATACCATGGATATTCAAAACCTATGTTGAATACCCACAATTTTTGTTGTCCTCGTGAGGACGATAGTGATCAGATTCAATTGACCAAGATGCACAAGAAGTCCCCGCCCCGCCAAGTCAGAAGAGCCAAGAAAAAAGGCCGTCTACGGCGTCCTTTGCCCATTCGGTATGGCATTCCGATTCTGCGGACAGTAAAAGAAGCACTTGCACTTGATGATGATAACGGGAACCACTTTTGGCGTGAAGCAATGGAAAAAGAGATTGCTTCCCTGATTGCAATGAATTGCTTTGATTTTCACACGAGTGATTACAAGCCTGGCCCAAATTCTCAATTCGCCCCATTGCGAATGATTTTTGAAGCTAAGCAAGATGGGAGACGCAAAGGAAGATTGGTTTGCACGAGGCATCTCGACCCGGTCAACAGTTGTGAAGGGTGTCAGTGTCCGCCTTCTGGACATGATTGCCGATCACTAGGGTTTGACAATTGTCCATGGTGACGTTGGTAATGCATTTATTACCGCTAACTGCCTGGAAGAAATTCGGAGAGCGCGAGGCGCTGTTATTACTATTAACAAAGCCCTTTACGGGCTCCGCACTAGTTCAAGGGCCTACAGAGAAACTTTTGCAGCGTTCATGAGAACTATTGGTTTCCAATCGAGTCGCTATGACCGTGACGTCTGGATGAGGCTACGCGAGGATAATGAGGGATACGATTATCTCTGCACTCACGTGGATGACTTCAAAGTTGTGGCCAAAGATCCCCAACGGTGGTCTTACTACTACCTTGGTATGGATTATAATTTCGACGAGGAGACAAAGTGTTGGTTTACTGGTACCAAGACCTATGTGGAAGAGTGTATCCGAAGGATCCAAGCTTTGCTTCCTCCTGGCCAGTTAGGGTTAGGGTTACCCTAACCCTAACCCTAACCCTAACCCTAACCCTCCTGCCCCCTACGACGGGAAAGCTTCCCATCCTGAAGAGGACAAGTCCGATTTCCTTGATGACGCTGGAAAACGCCAATATCAGATGTTGGTTGGCATGGCCCAATGGGCTGTGACCATTGGACGAATGGACATTGCATATGCAGTCTCTTTGCTCAATCGCTTTTCCTCAGCGCCTTGTGAAGGCCATCTGGAGTTAGCTTTCTACCTTTTTGGCTATCTAAAGAAGTTCCCCAACAAGCAACTGCCTGTTGACTCGCGCCCGCTCGAACTTTGCCCGACACTCACAGCGACCAAAGGTACATTCAAGGCAGATTTCCTTGAAGAGTATCCGGATGCAAAGGAGGACCGAGATCCCAAGGAACCCAAAGCCTTTGGAAAGCCAGTACAAACAAGTGTCTTCTTTGATGCCAATCTGGCACACGACCTAGTTACTCGGCGGTCCATAACTGGACTCCTTGTCTATGTTGGAAGCACCCTTGTTTCATGGACCTCCAAGCGTCAGGGCTGCATCGCGTCGAGCACATATTGCTCTGAATTTATTGCCATGCGCGCTGCCACAGAAGAGGCAATCTCCATCCGATATATGCTCTGTTCACTGGGTGTTCCTGTAGAGGAGCCTACCAATTTACTTGGTGACAACCTGGGAGTCATCCAGAGCGCTGCCATGAAGGATGCAGATCTCAAGAAGAAACATGTCGCGATTTCTTACCATTGTGTTCGTGAGGCCGTTGCAGCTCAAATTATCAAACCAATTTGGTGTAAAACCGATGAAAATTGGAGCGACATTTGTACCGAGGCATTGGGTGGCCTTAAACAAAATGCCATTCTGTCTAGGACGATGTTGTAAAAAGACAACATCTCTGCATCCACCTCAGCACCTTGCCGTAAGACAATCCATTCTGCTTCTTTGTTTTTTTTTGTTTTTTTTTGGGATAGCTAGTTTAATACGTGATACGTCTTCTTAACACGTGGCGAAGTGCCATGCTTGAGAGGAGGAAGATCGAGTGTGTTGTCTCCGTCTATTCCGGACGAAGAGGAGGTCAGGATCGAGTTAGTTGTCTTACGACTTACTAGACCGTCTGTCCATATTCCGTTCCCAACTCACTCATCACATCACCAACAAGTCACTCTATGAGTTTATGTTGACACTAAGAGAGCTCTTTTGGATATCCATCCAACGATTACTATTCTTGCCTCAAGAGTTCGAGAACCTACAGAGTCTGATTGGAAGAAGTGTGTTCGCATGATGCGATATTTGTTTTGTACATCGTTGTATCACCTGACACTTTCCGCAGAATCACTACAAGTCATGAAATGGATGATCGACGCATCATTTGCGGTGCATCCAGATTTCAAGAGCCATACTGGCGGCACTCTGTCCTTTGGAGGAGGTGCAGCTCAAGTGATGTCGAAGAAACAAAAACTAAACAGCAGAAGCAGTACGGAAGCGGAACTGATTGCTGTTGACAATGTTGTCACGATGATACTATGGACAAAGTTGTTCATGGAGTGGCAAGGGTATCCGATCGAGAAGAATATCTTGTATCAGGATAACAAAAGCGCGATTCTACTGGAAGAGAATGGTCGCAAGAGCGCGGGCAAAAGAAGCCAAGCTATCAATATTCGTTATTTCTTTATCACAGATCAAGTTGAGAAAGGAAATGTTAAGATCGAATACTGTCCAACTGACGATATGATTGCGGATTTCATGACTAAGCCATTGCAAGGTGAGAAGTTTTGCAAGTTCAGGGATCTGATTCATGGTCCATAGGAATAGGTCAGACAAGTATGTATATGTTCAAAATGAAAATACAAAACAAAAATAAACAGTGAATGAGAGCATGTCCCATTGCTGCCAATGGTGATTGTCACAGTGGCAGGAGTGTGTTGGGATATGAAAAAATATGAGTTTTTACGTTCCAAAAAGAAATTATTCAATTATGAAGTTTTTGACACGTACGATCGGATTTTGATTTTGATGTTGGGATTTGAGGAAAGTATGCTGGACGCAAGTCTGTCGGACAATCTATATCCACACAAAAAGGGAACGACCCTATGTAAGTGTGATATCGATGTTGTGTACAATGCAGTAGGGAATAATACAAGATGTCTTAAAGTACTGCATCCAACACAGAATTGTCGTAGAGGTCGAATCAAGTTCTGTGAACAAGGGATTTTCCAAGGGAAAATCGTTGAACTTACTTTTGTGATTGAATCATCAATTCAAGCCAAATATTAATCAAATAGGAACAATTTCACTCAAAGTATATCTAGACACAGGAGAACTATTGTTGTGAAAGTGTTGTACAGTCAATTATGAATTTAGATTGCAGAGAGTTTGTTCTGAGCGCTAAAGGCACTCACGATAGAGCACAATGTGCTATATTCTAACACAGAGTATATAATCCATTGCGATGTCCAAATCGCAATGTAGTCCCGTTTCTGGTCACAAAGAAGCTGACTTGAATAGTTCTGCACCAGGTGCTCCCATCATATGATAGCCACTTTGTGCAACATTTGCTCGTTTCACTTGTTTGTTTGTGAAACCCTCTTTGTTCTTCTCTACACTCTGTAGAGCACAGTACCCTTGCACATCATTATTATCAAGTCATGTGCATGGTCATAAAACATTGTTGTTACCATAGCAGGTTTGTCAACCAAAGTATATAATCCATTGCGATGTCCAAATTGCCATGTAGTCCCGTTTCTGGTCTCAAAGAAGCTCTTTGTGTCCATGAATACGTCAAATCCATCTTTTACCATATTTGACAAGCTGTTGACGTTGTCTCTAGCTCGTGTGTCAAGCTTACAAACAGAGTCAAATAGGTTATCGATTCCTTCTTGATAAAGTCTTCTTCCCTACTAATTGTAGATGTATTATACCTATAATAATAGTATTAAAAATTGTACTAGTAGTATGTAGCCCCATATTCTACAGTATTTTGACGACCTCCCTGGTCATGTCGCATTTGGCAGATGACAGCAACAGCTTCGAAGCAGCATTTGTGCTTTGTCAAAGGATCATGGCTAAAGACTTGATCAAGAACTTCCGATTTCTTCAGCTCTCCATTCACATTTTTGTGCCGGGCCCTTGCCTTACATTTTTGCTTACCTGCCTTCTGAGTTTGGTACATCTTGGGGTTCTTCAACCTTGACGCATTCATTGTCACACAAAGCGTTCATAAGACCATCTTCTTCAAATATTGTCTTGTCATTTTTGCCTGCCTTGAAAGGGCCGTTCACCCAAAGTATTACACTGGTTGCAATGCAAATACCGATTTTGTATTTGTAGCCTGGTCCATTTCACTTCTTGGAGAAGATTGCTTCATCAAAGGGTCATGGTTCTTGGATGGCACAATCCACTCCGTCAACAGTTATGACACAAACTGTCTGGTGATCCCATTCTTCAAATCGCCGTATCCATTGAATCTGTATTGCACAAACTGAGGTGAGCGCTTTTAAAACGGGGAATAGAATAGACGGCAAATAGACTTACAACATCAACTCTTTGTGCAGCGATTGCTGGAATGAAGGTCCAAATCCATTTTTGGAATGTTCTTGGGTCCACAAAACCAACTAGCCGAACCATTACCGGTTCAGAACAGTAGTTCTTCAGAAAGCAAAGCGTCCATAAGAGGTGGTTTGGGTGAGCATCTTCATTACAGTTTCGGAGAAACATTGAGCTGGAGGGCTGGCGCGCTACGTCTTCATCTCAATGTTTCTCCGACAACAACTTCGACTATAAAGGGACTTTATCAGCACAACAACTTGTCACAAATCTTTGGTCCAACCCAGGAAAATTCAAACTTGTTTTAAAATTCTTCAGGCTTTAGTTGATACCTTAGCTTCAACAAACAGCATGACAATGATCTATATTTATCAGTGTATGCAATTTGATAGATTCTATTGTCGTAAACAACACAATGCCATGAACTATTGCTCCAAACATCTGCTCGTTGCTCCAATTCTGCCCAAAATCAACAGTAAAAAAAGAAAATCTTCTAAACGAGCTCCGTGAACTTGCTGAAACCCCAAGAGGGAAAAAAGAAGTCGATAAGAAATTATTCAATTATGAAGTTTTTGACACGTACGATCGGATTTTGATTTTGATGTTGGGATTTGAGGCAAGTATGCTGGACGCAAGTCTGTCGGACAATCTATATCCACACAAAAAGGGAATGACCCTATGTAAGTGTGATATCGATGTTGTGTACAATGCAGTAGGGAATAATACAAGATGTCTTAAAGTACTGCATCCAACACAGAATTGTCGTGGAGGTCGAATCAAGTTCTGTGAACAAGGGATTTTCCAAGGGAAAATCGTTGAACTTACTTTTGTGATTGAATCATCAATTCAAGCCAAATATTAATCAAATAGGAACAATTTCACTCAAAGTATATCTAGACACAGGAGAACTATTGTTGTGAAAGTGTTGTACAGTCAATTATGAATTTAGATTGCAGAGAGTTTGTTCTGAGCGCTAAAGGCACTCACGATAGAGCACAATGTGCTATATTCTAACACAGAGTATATAATCCATTGCGATGTCCAAATCGCAATGTAGTCCCGTTTCTGGTCACAAAGAAGCTGACTTGAATAGTTCTGCACCAGGTGCTCCCATCATATGATAGCCACTTTGTGCAACATTTGCTCGTTTCACTTGTTTGTTTGTGAAACCCTCTTCTCTACACTCTGTAGAGCACAGTACCCTGGCTGACGTCCACATAGTTTTTTAATTTCAATGAAGGTGTACCAGGTACAGTACTTTTCACCATTTCTCCATACATTTGTCTGTCAAATCAAACGTACACAGGCCAGACGGACATCCAACCAAACAGGTCCGACTCATACGAACGAAAGGCAAGCCATATCACGCTGGCATGTCACTTTGTGTCAATGTCAGATTTCCCTAGCGCAAAACCGTAGTGCTTGTGGAATCTACCGCAAATTTTGCGTTGCGGGCGACTGCAAGACGTTTGATAGAATCGACCAACTCAAAGCATCCTTGCTCAAAGGAGTGGTAAATTAAAAGGGGCAACCTTCCCTCCCTGAATATTAATTATTCAGATCATTCTTTTGTGCGTGTAGAAATCCTATGTTACATTTTGCGTGAATGGCAGTTATGTTTAAAGAACACACTATTTAGCGCGCTTTTGATTGCGTCTGAAGTATCCCACAGAAGATGCGTACATTACCTTAGTAAAAGGATTGTTACCACAACCTTAACGCGGTATTTAATGTTGTATTGTTAGTCGTGTGTGCTGTTACACGGCATTCTACCCCTATGAAGGAGAGCTGCAAAGCAATGATGCTTCATGATAGGTTACAGTTTGCTGGCCAGGCGAGAGGTTGTGAGATCCATCGAATCGGAAAGGGGGTGTTGACCTTTTGACTATGCAGCCGTGGACCTGTTGTGTGACGAATAAGACCAAGTCGTGCTGCACCTGTTGTCCTGTGGCTCTGGAATCGATGTCGCGGCCTACTCTACTTTCTTTTTCTCTGGGTCTCTGATCAGAATGACATATCCCACAGAAGATGTGTACATTACCTTAGTAAAAAATTGTTACCACGACCTTAACGCGGTATTTAATGTTGTATTGTTAGTTGTGTGTGCTGTTACACGGCAGCGGCCACTGTGTCGAAAACCACAATTCGGACATGAAAAAATCGTTTAGGTTTCCAGCAAGTTCAAAAGAATCGTTTGAGTCTAGGTCTCCACAGTCCCATGTAGACAACTTATATGCGCGACACTCGTGCATGAGGCATAATACAACAGTTGTACAAGTCCATCTTCTGATTTCAGTGCAGATTTGAGTGACTGCAGAAGCAACGTTGGTTCATCATTTTGGTAAAAACTACAGAAGAGCAGTGTAAGTTTTGTAATAGGACTATACTAAGTTTAAAAAGCAACTGAACTGAACCAATTCCTTCTGACTTTATCCTCGTTTCTTCTGAACAAATGTTGCTTCAGATATTGGCTGAAATGTTTTTTGAACAACTTTTCTCTTTCTTCACTGAGTGGTTCGTCTATGTGCTCCTTCTTCCATCTGCTGACTACATCATCGGCAATCAAATTTCTGAGCGTGCTGTAGTCGATAGAAATAGGTTTACCTTCATCGTAAGCAGCCTTGTCAGTTTCACTGAGAAGTTCTCAAGCAACAGCCTCAAGGACCATTTCGTTCATATTCTTGCCTTTCAGACACTTTGCGAAGACAATTCTTCCAGCCACGTGCGGAGTTATATCTACCCCTTACTGTTTCTCTCGTGCCGATCTTCTGTGATTCATTCCAAATGCGTTTGTCACTTGGACAGCATATTCTTGATTTTGTCTTGTACTTACATGCGCGCTCTTGTCACAGAGATTTGCCATTGTGATCTTCAATTTGCGCTGATACTCTTCTTTGTCCACTGCTTTCTGTTCCTCAACGTATTTGTACAGCCTGAGACTATGTTTCAATACATTTTCCAGTCGCGCAGGACCGTGGCTCCAATCCTCATTGTACTCTCCACCATATCTGGACTCTTCCCCCTTGGCGGATGCAGCAGATTCTTCGGATGCTCGCTGTTCTGTCATTTCATCTTTGTATGAACATGACAGTAGATTGGGTTCTTTACACGTGATGTCAAGTGGACCTCAAGCAAGACCATTTACTGTCACATTCTGATCCTTCTTGCCCGTTCTCTTGCACAATCGTACCATCTTCACGCTCTGTTCGACGCCTTCCATTGTTGAAGGAAGCGCAGCATAGTGATTCAAATAAAAAAAACCTATCGTCATGTCCCAACTCAATCGTCAGATTCCAAAAATCTGCATGGCATGATATCTCAACAATGCTATTGCGTAGTTGGCGAAATGTATGGTATTGACACAATCCGGTTTTGCACTTTTGATCAAGAAATCTGCAAACGCCTCAAGATCAATTGTTTTATCAATGTGCATGGTAGACTTGAATGACTTCCTTTTTTGTCCTTCCATTAAATCTTCAACAGAGGGATCATTTCCTAAGCTCAATATTATCAGATATTTTGCAACAATTGTCGCTGTTGGTTGTTCACCGAAGCATCCAAGAAACAAGAGCTTGTTACAAAAGTGCTTGTTGTGCTTGTGAAGGGAGCCTTTATACACCTCAAGAAATTTTCTGGCACCATCAATCTGAGCTTCGATTTCCACCAAGCCTTCACACTCCCTCATCACTTGCCAGAAGGAAGGAAGCTTTGCACTTTTGGGGGTTTGATTGATATACAGTGTTCCTTTTTCAACCTCCTCTTCCAACTCCTGCAACTCGCTCACCTTCAAGAAGTATCGTACTGGGTGATGTGGAGCTAGGAAACCGCTTCGTCCAATGTTCTTGTCAGTGGTATGATTGAATTCCATGTGATGGTTGAAGTAGATCTTATCAAAATCAGCCAAGAGTGCCAAATCGCATTTGATCATGGGCTTGTTTGCCAAGGAAAGGAAGTTGCTTCTGCATTTATTCCTGTTCAAGTGGGTTCTCTCAACGTCGCAAACGGCCCTGACAAAGTGGACAAGGACAGCAAAATGCTTGTGAATGTACCTTGCAGCCATTCCAATTGTCTTCCACCTTGTTGCAATCGGCTCCTGCATCAATCAAAGCAAATCCTTTGGCACTGTTGCTTTGTCGGGAAATTTATCATGATGTGCAGCTTCTAGCAGATCTAAGTATTGGTCTTTGTCAGAAAAATCGTTTTGGAAGTCTGAAAGCGCATGCAATAGTTGCATAACATTCCTTTTCTCAATTCCACCTTCACCAAAGATGCTTTCAGTAGCATTTCGAAGATTGGTCTGGTCATTGTGCGAGGTGCATGGGCAGTGAATGTATTCATTCTCGTTAGCCAAGCCCTTTCTCACAAGCTCTTCCTTCATTTTCCCGTTTGTGAAACCACCACCGCTATCGCTTCCTCCACCCTTGACAATGCCCTTCAGCTGGCTATGCTTATTGTCGCCGAAGACAAACTTTAAGAACGAATGATAGCAAGCATCTCCACATGATGCCGCATCCTCTCCAGAACCGTCAAAATCAAGATCCACGTCGTAAATTAGCCCCTGAAACCAAAGGTAGACTTTCTTCACCAGACTGCCGCCGCCTTTGTCTGCTCCAAGAAAAAGTGCAGTGGCCCCAAGCATCAGGGCACCTTGAAAGATGACATTGTGAGCTGCAAAGCGTCGTGTATATCTGGTGCATGTTGTTCGACTTGGCATCATTCTCAAGATTTGAATGTGGTTCATCATGGATTTTTGCGGACAGCCGAAGTCTATAAGCTTTAGGTTGTTTGCGAAAACAATGGCAGCTGTAAATGTGATCGTCTCAAAAGCAACATCGGGGACCTGAACACACAGACTTGCAACTGCTCCGAGAAAGAATTTCATTTGCTCATCCACGTGGCAGATCTTCCTCTTGCACGCCTTCTTGATCGGTTGATGATTGGCCTCTGTCTGCTCCAGGTGGTTCAACCGCTGCTTGGAAATGAATTTGTAGTTGTTCGGGCACTCTTCCAACTTCCCTCCAACAAATGTTCTTCTCTTCCTCCTTATATAATTGCTCGTTTTGGGGGAGGATGGATCGACATAGCAGATGCCGCCCTCGGTGTTGATTTGATCGGTATCATTAGAACAATAGTTTGCATCTTGTTCTGGTGCCGTTCTTCCTTGTTGCTTTGGAAAAGCATCGGAATCATAGTACTGCTTGAAGCTCTCATGGATCATGGAGAGAATGCCTGGTGGGTCGATTGCTGGTCGCTCCTTCTCTTCGCGAATTTGATTTCTCAGCAATGGTATCTTTTCTGTCGGTGGACCAATCAAAACAAAAGAGTGCTTGCAAGAAAAACCCTTGATGTTGGTGTTTATTTCAAAATCAAAGCCACCTTCCACGATACCTCGAATATGGCTTTCTTTGCTTTCATTTGACAGTTCTTGTTTGGTCCTACAAGTCCTGAAGCAACAAGAACGTCCAAGCACTCCTTTTGGCTCAACCCAAGCAACTCGTGGAAAATTCTAATATCTTCATAAGCCTTGCTCTCTTCAGTTTCACGGTAGAACAACTGAAACCAGCGAGGCTTCAATAAGGTATGTTTGAGAGCAATGAAGCTACCCGCCAGAACGTAAAATGGGCTCTGTGGCGATTCAAGCTTGGCCTGTTGTAGACAGGGGAGTTTGAAGAAAGAAATATCTAGAAAATTACTTTCGTGTCCAGATTCATCATTGCTTCTTTCTGTAGTGTTTTCATCATTGCGCTGCTCTTCACTTGGCTCATCATGCATAGACGATGCATCCTCAACATCAACATCATCATCATCATCATAATGGAGTTCATCGTTGCCTACTCCATGATCATCATCCTCACTTCCATCGCCGATTTCCATTTCATTCGCAACCTTCTTCCTTCTTTTTGATTGCCTCATGCTGCTGCTGCGGGATGATGGATTGCGGGGTGAAAGAGGATGAGCTTTGCATCCGTCCCTTGTGGACCAGCGTCGGCATTGATTTGAAATTGCTCCCACGGTGTAACAACATATTAAAGTTTGGTTTGGACCCACACCTTGTTTGAAATCGTTCCAGCGGGGTTTTGATGTGAGGAATGTGTTTTCAGTTTCAGATCATGTTTGCCTATTAACAATTGGTTGCATTTCCGTTGGACAATAAGTAGTTTAAAATTGATAGGAAATTGATTGTTACAAAACGTCACATTGAGGCTATAAATAAAAATAAATATTGAATAGTTTTGCAGAAAACTTGAGTTAACACTCCCTCCAGAACGACAAGGTACGCATATTTTTTCCAACATCTCATTGGACACCATGATCCTAAGTTCGACCTTTGGAACTAAATAGTGTTAGACCTTTCAAAATAGCTTTAGGACATCGACTCCGACAAACCACTACAACCTCACAGTATGTTGTGGCTCACATTAGTCCACTAGTCCAACTAGTCGAATCATATCAGTCAAATGAACATCGATTACTCTGATATGAGTACTTCTACAAACGCCCCCTTACTCAGCATGCCCACAGTAGTCTTGTCAAAAGCAATCTTGCCAAATGTCGAGTACATCTATTACCTATGCTACAAGCCGACAGTGATGTGGCAATGAGGTGGCGACAGTCTGATGAATACGTCTTATCAAGACTGCAGTAGAAGTTGTGTGTCTCCAGTACACACCTTCTCTTCTGATGTCAGTATGGCTATCGCGTTCTGCCCAGGGAAGTAATTCTCCATTAAGCTCATAATATCTCTTTAGCAATCTTTCAATTGCTACTGTGCCTAAGTTAGTCCTCAGCCTTTTGTGGGACACGGCATTTTTGATCAAAAAGTCCGATTCAATTTCAAGCACAACATCATGTCCAACTATCACTTCTTCCCTATGCAATACGAACCCATCGAAGGAGAAAACCTCAGAGTCAAGGTGGATATCGACCATTCAACTTTTTCCGTCAACCTCAAGAAGTTGGACATCACCCAGATGTCCTTACACAAGTGTGTGGACTTCGCACAGACTCTCCTTGACGATGTGACTCTTGAAGTCGGCCGGAACGATGACGAGCTCCTCGGTAGATCCCTCAACAAGTTTTGGTCAAAGGCTCTCCCTCCTCTCGAACAACAAGTTTGGGAAGCGCTCCCAAACTACATGGACATGGACGAGGAATCCGTTGAGAACTGTAAAAACAAAGTCCGCGACTGGATCCTGACCAAATGTACTGAAGAAGACGCGGCTGCAGTTTTAAATCAGCTCCGTACCTGGAGAAAGCCAAGATCGGCGACAATCATGGACAATCAGATGTACATGAAGAAGTTAAACTCTGCAATCCCTTACATGTCTGAATCTCTTGACCCTCTTGACAAAGAAGAATTCAAGAGAGTTTTCTTCAATGCTCACCCCAAGCCTTGGAAGGACGCCTTCCTGGAGATCAACGGTACCATCGACAGCCATTCTGTTGCCAGCATCACTTCCTACATGCAACGCAAGGCTCGACAAGCACACGACAAGGAATTGAAGAATCAACTCCACCAGAAGATCAAATCCAAAAAGAAGAAACGCACGGCTGGTGTCCATCATAGGGACGATTCGAAACCTTTCAAGAAATCTTGTACCGACCCAGAGGAAAACAAGATGGACAAAGACGAGTACCACAAGCGCGTGGCGGAACTTGCAAAGAGAGCCAAGCCGACCAAAATTTGCTTGCTCAAGCCCAGTCATAAGAATCACACTATCTCCAAGTGTAAGGCAATCAGCAACTACAAGGCCTGAATAAGCAACAAGAAGTCCAACAGCTTTGCTGTCATCAATCTCCCTGGAGATAAGCCGGATGATGATTCGACCACCTCTAAGGAGACCGACTCATCCAACAAGAATGATGCGTTCTACATGAACAATGAATCTTACTATGTCCCAGCTTTCTCTCACCACATTGATTTCTGTTGCTTCGACAGCCTGTTTGATCCTGGATCAGATGAATCTTACATCCATCGTAGAATGTTGCCCACTGGAATCAATGGAAAAACCGTGAAGAAAAAAATTGGAACGATAAGCGGCAAACAATCTTTGACCAAGCAAGTCATAAACATTGAGGGAATCGTTTTCCCTGAATTTTCTCCCACGCAACAAGTGGAATCCACGTTTGAAACAATTGTTTTTGATTCAGACGCGAGGTACGATATGATTATTGGAAATAATATTTTGCTTCCCCTTGGAATCGATTGTTGCGGATCTACCAAAACAATCAAATGGATGGACAAACACATCCCTTATAAGCCGCCCGAATCTTGCCTCAGTCCTCAAACTACTGATCCAAACGAAGATACATCCATGTTGATGGCGCAATTGATGGCAACCCATTGCTATCACTCAGACCCTGATGAAAGTCTCAATGAACACATTGAGCAACAGATATCTCATTCCTTTAATATTGCAGAATCCAAATATGATTTAGTTCCCTTGGAACATGTTGCCAAGCAACAACAACATCTAAATGGTAAACAACAAAACGATCTTTACAATGTTATAAAAGACTTCGAACCCTTGTTCCGGCAAGCTTGGCCCTTTCAAAGGTCCTAAAGCACACCTCAAGCTTCTCCCAACACAATTATTACAACCCACCATCCAATGGTATCACGCTGCTCTCAGCCACCCGGGCTCCACGCGCCTCAAGGATACCATGCGCATCCATTTTCACAATCCAAAGTTATCTAATGTTATTGAAGACTTTACCTCAAAATGCGACACATGTCAACGACACAAGGCTGTCGGTAGAGGCCACGGCCACACTGCTCCCAAGGAAGCTCCACTCATCCCCTGGCAACAACTCGCAGTTGATCTCATTGGTCCTTGGACACTCATGGTGGCAGGACAAGAGATCGAGTTCAGAGCCTTGACAATCATTGACCTAGTGACCAACTTGGTCGAAATTGTGCGCATTAAGGACAAAACGTGTGCAAACGTAACGCTTCAGTTGTTAGAAGTAAGCGATCCACTGCCGCCTGCAATCTACCTGTTCAATTGACTGCAATTTAGCTGTCCAGGTATTGTTGCCTTCTAAGTATATGAACTTACAGTATATAGAAGTATATAGATCAATCAAAGATCCTACTTTATCAACCAATTCACTCGTTGCTTGCATTATATTATAAAAAGTGAGAATAGTCTGTCAACTTTTGACTTTGACTCTTTCCTCTCCAGCTCAGTGGAAATTCTCAGAATTCTCTCTACGTCAGCCTGATATGCTGCAAGTTCAATCTGATTATCCGTTCACCTTCCACTGTAGTCGGTACTTTGATTAGTATCCAACTTTGGCTCTTGCTTGAATCTTGCTTTCTTACATCATCAACAGGATGATTTCCATAGAAATATAATCCGTTTTCTGACTCGCCATGCTCGATGTCTTTAGTCGCATCAGTCTTCATTTTTAGTCCTATCAGTCGAAATCATTTCTCTATCGTTCACATGCATTCTCTTTTTCTCGTTTCTCCAAATATGTACTTTGAAAATCCTAATATATCCAACAGCCGGTACAAAACCCACGCACTGAACTCCCGCAGGATTCAGTCTGGGACTTTCGTGGCGCTCAGACGTTTGTTAGTCCAAGCCCACAAGTCCAGGTATTGTTGCCTTCTAAGTATATGAACTTACAGTATATAGAAGTATATAGATCAATCAAAGATCCTACTTTATCAACCAATTCACTCGTTGCTTGCAATATATTATAAAAAGTGAGAATAGTCTGTCAACTTTTGACTTTGACTCTTTCCTCTCCAGCTCAGTGGAAATTCTCAGAATTCTCTCTACGTCAGCCTGATATGCTGCAAGTTCAATCTGATTATCCGTTCACCTTCCACTGTAGTCGGTACTTTGATTAGTATCCAACTTTGGCTCTTGCTTGAATCTTGCTTTCTTACATCATCAACAGGATGATTTCCATAGAAATATAATCCGTTTTCTGACTCGCCATGCTCGATGTCTTTAGTCGCATCAGTCTTCATTTTTAGTCCTATCAGTCGAAATCATTTCTCTATCGTTCACATGCATTCTCTTTTTCTCGTTTCTCCAAATATGTACTTTGAAAATCCTAATATATCCAACAGCCGGTACAAAACCCACGCACTGAACTCCCGCAGGATTCAGTCTGGGACTTTCGTGGCGCTCAGACGTTTGTTAGTCCAAGCCCACAAGTCCAGGTATTGTTGCCTTCTAAGTATATGAACTTACAGTATATAGAAGTATATAGATCAATCAAAGATCCTACTTTATCAACCAATTCACTCGTTGCTTGCAATATATTATAAAAAGTGAGAATAGTCTGTCAACTTTTGACTTTGACTCTTTCCTCTCCAGCTCAGTGGAAATTCTCAGAATTCTCTCTACGTCAGCCTGATATGCTGCAAGTTCAATCTGTTTATCCGTTCACCTTCCACAGTAGTTGGTACTTTGATTAGTATCCAACTTTGGTTCTTGCTTCAATCTTGCTTTCTTACATCATCAACAGGATGATTTCCATAGAAATATAATCCGTTTTCTGACTCGCCACGCTCGATGTTTTTTGGTCGCATCAGTCTTCATTTTTAGTCGTATCAGTCGACATCATTTCTCTATCGTTCACATGCATTCTCTTTTTCTCGTTTCTCCAAATATGTACTTCGAAAATCCTAATATATCCAACATCAGTTTGAAAACGCTTGGCTCGCCCGTTACCCGCGCCCTGCAACCGTCATCCATGACCAAGGAACCGAATTCACGGGATTCGACTTTCAAAATCATTTGAATCTACACGGAATTGAACCTCGTTCTATCTCTGCCAAGAATCCTCAAGCAAATGCAGTTTGCGAACGGATGCATCAAACTATTGGCAACTCTCTTAGAGTATTGGTTACACTGAACCACCCTTTCAACATCAATGCTGCCAAACAATTAGTTGACACTGCCATTGCAAATGCAGTGTATGCACACCACTGCTCTTATCACGGAACTATAACCGCTACGCTCGGATCACTTGCCTTCCACCGTGACATGGATGGGTTTGGCTCTGATCCTCTTGATGTCGGTGAAGCAAAGTTGGAATTTGATATGGATATGGCGGACGCTAAAGATATTGACGATGGAGCTACGGTTGCTGGTGCCATGGATGAGTTGCTGGAAAAGGATAGTCAACTGGAGGCTGCTATCACGGAGATTGAATTTAAGGACAATCTCTTGTCCGAACAGAATTCTGCTTTGGAGGCTGAACGATTACGATCTGAACAGTTGGCGCGCGAACTTGCCGCAATGCGCTTACTCCAACAGCCATCAGCCAGCCGCACAGATCAGCCGACTCAGCTTGACAACAATGGGCCTTCCACCAAGTCACCTACGGAGGAGGATATTCCTCTCACAGAAAAGCCACACTCCCCGTCCACTCCGGCACGATCCAACAAGCCAGGCCCCCTCACCTCCCCACTGCCGGGATCTCCTTCTCCACCTGGGCCCAAGACAATGTTACCACCTCAGAATGCCGCCACTCGCCCCAAATCCTTGGTCGAGTCGGTGACTCCG